CAGGAAAGCAAATTCTTGAAATTTTTAGGGTTTATGTGGAACCCTCTTTCTTGGGTGATGGAAGCTGCTGCAATCATGGCTATTGCACTTGCTAATGGAGGAGTGAGTGTATTGTAGACCCTCTTTGATTATTGCGTTAAAAAGTTTAACTCTTTCTAATATCTTCTTTTGGCCTGTTGTTCTTTAATTATGCTTATCAGGGGAAGCCTCCTGATTGGCAAGACTTTGTTGGTATTATTACTCTGCTTGTGATCAATTCCACCATCAGTTTCATTGAGGAGAACAATGCAGGGAATGCTGCTGCTGCTCTCATGGCACGTCTTGCCCCCAAAGCAAAGGTTTGATGTTCTTGCTTATTGCTACGTGTTTTCAACCACTGAGTATCCAATGTCATAGTTTGTTTTGCTCGTAACTCATCTTAAGATATTTCACAATATTTGTAAAGATTCTTCGAGATGGAAGGTGGGGTGAGCAGGATGCTGCAAATCTTGTTCCGGGTGACATAATCAGCATCAAGCTTGGAGATATCGTTCCAGCTGATGCTCGCCTTCTCGAGGGTGATCCCCTTAAGATCGATCAGGTTTGGATATTATAGTACTCTCCTGCTAAGCTTTTCTTACTTTAAGAACTTGTACTGAAGCTGTTATGAACATTTTGTTCTGTAGTCTTCTCTTACTGGTGAATCTCTCCCAGTAACCAAAGGTCCAGGGGATGGTGTGTATTCTGGCTCTACTTGCAAACAGGGAGAGCTTGAAGCAGTTGTGATTGCAACGGGAGTCCATACCTTCTTTGGAAAGGCTGCGCATCTTGTTGATACGACCAACCAAGTTGGCCATTTTCAACAGGTGTGTACTTGTGCGTTTAAAATTATCATTGTTGAGATCTTGTATGGTCTATTGTTGTTTCCTTTCCAAGTTGATTCCAAACTGTATTAATATTTATATCTGTTTTGTTTAAATGTGCAGGTCTTAACTGCTATTGGGAATTTCTGTATCTGTTCTATTGCAGTGGGGATGCTGATTGAGATTGTCGTGATGTATCCTATTCAACACCGAGCATATCGTCCTGGAATTGATAACCTTCTTGTGCTTCTCATTGGGGGTATCCCGATTGCCATGCCTACAGTTCTGTCTGTGACCATGGCCATTGGTTCTCATAGATTATCTCAGCAGGTTGGCCAAATCCACATAAGATGTGTTTTTATATTTCATTTCTTAAGGATACTGTTTTTTGATTCATCGTTTGTTGAAGTTGAACTTGCTTGATATTGAATGATTGGCTTGGACTTGGTAACCTGTGTCTTGTTAAGTTTTGTCTTGCAAGGTCATCGTGCTTTAATGGCTATATGATTGTATTCTGATATATATCGCAGGGAGCAATCACCAAGAGGATGACAGCTATTGAGGAAATGGCTGGCATGGATGTGCTTTGCAGTGACAAGACAGGAACTTTAACATTGAATAAACTTACTGTCGACAAAAATCTCATAGAGGTATTTTAGGCTTGTTCAGATAGATGCATGTTCCCAGGATTTCAGATTTCGGTGGCATTTCTGAACGAGTGAAAGTTTCTTGTATATAGGTTTTCACGAAAGGAGTGGATGCGGATACTGTCGTCCTAATGGCAGCTCAAGCCTCGAGACTGGAAAACCAAGATGCCATAGATGCTGCTATAGTTGGGATGCTTGCTGACCCTAAAGAGGTATATTTTTTTAACACTGGTTTTCGCACTGATATGTTTATATTTCATATGCTACAGAACTAAAGCTTCCTCAATATTGCTTTCTGTAGGCACGAGCTGGTATTCGAGAGGTTCACTTTCTTCCATTCAATCCAACTGATAAGAGGACAGCTCTTACATATATTGACAGTGATGGTAAAATGCATAGGGTCAGCAAAGGTGCACCTGAGCAAGTAAGCTTTCGGTTGCCATTTATACCTCTTCTTCATATTTTGTTTCGCGTAGATCATATTCTCAATAGCTTTTTCTGTTACCAATGTCTCAGATCCTAAATCTCGCCCACAATACATCAGAAATTGAGCGAAGAGTCCATGCTGTTATAGATAAGTTTGCTGAACGGGGTTTGCGATCTCTTGCTGTGGCATACCAGGTAAGTGGTGGCTAGTTCCTCAACTTTCTTGAGATATTTTGTTGTAAATTTGATACAAGATTCAAGGCTGGGAGCGTTTGATCTTCTGCAGGAAGTTCCGGAAGGGACAAAGGAAAGTGCTGGAGGCCCTTGGCAATTTGTGGGTCTCATGCCTCTTTTTGACCCACCTAGGCATGACAGTGCCGAGACAATTAGAAGAGCTTTAAATCTTGGGGTGAATGTCAAAATGATCACAGGTTAGTTCTTGGTTCTACTCAGAACTTAAAGTAGTCTCGTGTAAAAGTCTACAAGTCTTTTTCTTTGCCTGATACAGAAATCTCATCCTAATTCTTTTTGACATACCTTAATCAGAACAATCTTTTGAATTTTCGTTAGTGATGTTGAAGGGTTTTGCTTTCTCTTCTTTTCCGAGTTTATTTTTCTTTGCTAAAGCCTTGTGGCACTCTGTAGGGGATCAGTTGGCTATAGGAAAAGAGACCGGACGTCGTTTAGGGATGGGAACCAACATGTACCCTTCATCTGCTTTACTTGGACAGAACAAGGATGAATCTGTAGGAGCCTTACCCATTGATGATCTCATTGAAAAGGCAGATGGCTTTGCTGGCGTCTTCCCTGGTAAAATTTATTTGCTTCTGTTTTCCCGAAAACTTTATCTAGCGTAGTTCAACTCAAATATTTAACCAAATTAGTCATGAAAACTATTTGCAGAGCATAAATATGAGATAGTGAAGCGGTTACAAGCAAGGAAGCATATATGTGGAATGACGGGTGATGGAGTGAATGATGCGCCTGCTCTTAAAAAGGCTGATATTGGCATTGCAGTTGCTGATGCAACTGACGCAGCCCGTAGTGCTTCGGATATTGTTCTTACTGAACCTGGTCTTAGTGTTATCATCAGTGCTGTCTTGACCAGTCGTGCTATCTTCCAGAGAATGAAAAATTATACAGTGAGTGTTTGCATATATTCTCAGTCTCCATCACATATTAAACATTCTCTGCATTCTCATCACAGTCATATATACATATCCCATTTACACAGCTCCTTAAGTTGCATAAATTCTCCAATGCAATAACTGTGCTGGCTTTTTGTTTTTCTGGACAGATCTATGCGGTTTCCATCACAATCCGTATTGTTGTAAGTTGGCATTCGAACTTTTGTTTTTTCTTACGCCTTTCTTTTCTCAAGGTTCTCATTACAACTTGATTTTCATGTGTATCATACTCTTTGTGATTTCGTTTTCTTTTTTCCATCCAATTTCAGCTAGGCTTCATGCTGCTGGCCCTCATATGGAAGTTCGACTTCCCACCCTTCATGGTTCTTATCATCGCCATATTGAACGATGGTTAGTTCGTTATGCTCAACATTCTTCAGTACTGTTACAACTGTACCAGGATTGATGATAAAATTGCATGGGTCTAGGAATTCAGCTTATCTATACTTTAAGCTGGTCAATACCGTTTCTTTAGAGTCTTTCTGTATTGATTAACTCTTGTGGCTTCGACTTTGTAGGCACCATTATGACAATATCAAAAGACAGGGTGAAGCCTTCCCCTCTTCCAGATAGCTGGAAACTGTCAGAGATTTTTGCAACCGGCGTTGTGTTTGGAACATACATGGCAATGATGACAGTTATTTTCTTCTGGGCTGCATATAAAACAGACTTCTTCCCGGTATATACTCTCTCTCTGCCCTTCAATAAAGAAACCATTACTCTTGCTTATTTTGTCTCCTTGGATTATGTGCCTCATTAACACCTCAGTTGTTGTTTTCCGGAGTTACCCTATTGGAACATCAACTTTCGCTGTAGATGTGGTTGTAAACCAGTATCAAATTACTCCTTTTCTGTATCTTAGTGACCCAATTTTCATATTTGAATTTTAGCGAACTTTCGGAGTTTCGACCCTTGAGAAAACAGCACATGATGATTTCCGGAAGCTTGCCTCAGCAATATACTTACAAGTCAGCATTATAAGTCAGGCGCTTATCTTCGTGACCCGATCACGCAGTTGGTCTTATGTAGAACGTCCTGGGATGTGGCTTGTGATAGCATTTATCGTTGCACAATTGGTAAGTGTGGTACTTCACTTTCTGTGGTCAGCACTCAAGTCACAGTTATAAACCGCTGTTCCATTATTTTGACCATTTTCTTCCAAACAGGTGGCTACTCTAATTGCAGTCTATGCTAATTGGAGCTTTGCTGCGATAGAAGGGATTGGGTGGGGATGGGCCGGAGTCATTTGGCTTTACAACATCGTGTTCTATATTCCTCTTGATATCATCAAGTTCTTGATTCGATACGCCCTTAGCGGCAGAGCCTGGGATCTTGTTATTGAACAAAGGGTATGTATCGAAAAGCAAATTTTTCTTTTCTTTTCTCTATGCATTTGATTTATCTGTACTTGACCTTGGTTTGTGGACACGGATGGGGTACCTTTTGTGAGTCTGATTATAATCTCTTCTGCTTGTGTTCCATAGATTGCATTCACGAGGAAGAAGGATTTCGGGAAAGAACAAAGAGAGCTACAATGGGCACATGCACAGAGAACGCTGCATGGCCTGCAAGCACCAGATGCTAAGATGTTCCCAGAGCGAACCCATTTCAACGAGCTTTCCCAAATGGCTGAAGAAGCGAAGAGAAGAGCCGAGATCGCAAGGTAAAAGAAAAACATCAGTCTCTTTTCTTGCTGTGAAGTCAGAGAAGGAACACAAAACCAGCACATTTGTTATTTGTCTCATTCTCTCTTACGCTTTGATAGGTTGCGGGAGCTTCACACACTCAAGGGTCATGTTGAATCCGTGGTGAGACTAAAAGGTCTCGACATTGAAACCATTCAACAAGCGTACACCGTCTGAGAGGATCGTTGAGAGAGCCCAAGAACAGTCTTGAAGGTTAAGGTCTCTGTTCAAGAAGGTTAAGGTCTCTGTTTGAAACATCGACAGAAACTATGCATATATGTATCAAATTCCTTGGTAGTCTTTTTTGGTGGTTTTTCTTCTTCTTCGTTTTATGATTTGTTCTGTTATGATGAAAAGTGACAGAAATAGAAGCAGAAACCTCAAAATGCAAGACAAATTTTTTATTTCGCAATACATGTGATGTTATAATCCCCCTTTTTCTCCACAATGATAGAAAAAAAGAAATGTGATATAACGCAGTAACCAGAAAAAAAAAGGAACCAGAACAAGTATATATGATTACTTCTTCATCTCTCTATAGCTTATTCCAAGAAAATCCAAAGAGACTGTAAGGGCATTGAAGCTGGCCAAAAACTAAATCTAGAAGCTTCCAGAAGATGAGAAACCTATAAATCATATCATCAGACAGTGTTCTTGTCTTGTTGTTTGATGACATCTCCGTTGGTTTCGTGTGTTGTCTCTCCATCATCACTTGCTTTGTACCTATACCATCTTGACATCACCAAGAAGTAAGCAAAGTTAACTGCCAAGATTCCAGCAATCATGAAATAGAATTTATCCAATCTTCCTTTGTTCAAATCCTCAGCTAACCAGTTACCGCCCGCCGAGTTCTGCGTCGTCCTGTGAACCGTAGCAATCAAGAAGCTACCGAGGTAACTCGAGACTCCTGCTCCTACATAATAGAGCGAACCCGCGAAACTCCTCATGTTTTCGGGAAACTGTTTGTAGTAAAACTCCATTTGTCCAATTGCACCAAATGCCTCGGCTACACCCGCGAGTGTGAGCTGTGGAATCAGCCACATAGCTGACATTGAGGAGATTTCTCCCCTTCGTGGCGCCATACCGAGTGTCGGTTTAGTCAGTGCGAAAGTTCTCCTCCGTTCCTCGACGAATCCTGAGACTATTAAGCTCGCTACCGCGAAGAAAATCCCCGTTCCAATTCTCTGCAAGAGCGTTATCCCGGTGTCTAGACCGGTTATTCTTCTTAAGGTAGGCACGAGGACACGGTCGTAGATTATAATGAAAACCGTCATTCCTGCCATCAAGAAGACCACGTAGGTGGCTGCAGGAATCACGAATCCTCCCGAGCCTAAGCGGCGATCGCTCTGGAGGGCTTGGAAGACGGGATAAGTCATTTGTTGAGTAATGGTTAAGTAGTAAATTGCTGCAGCAAACCATATAGGAAGCACTCTCAAAATGCACTTCACTTCTTCAACTTGTTGCATTGTACACAGCTTCCATGGATCCACAGGCTTACCATCAGCCTCCAACTTGTCTTCCGGAGTCATGATCGCCGCTTTATCAAGAAATCTGCCAAATAGGATGCTTTCTCAGTAACGAAACAGAGCGAAAAGTCATCAGTAAAACACTTTTTGGTGTGTGTTCTTACCTGAATTGGTCGGTGTATTTGAGCTTAGAGTTTGCGTATTTTGGTGGGTAGTAATTGTAAAGGTTAAGCCAAGGCTGTTTCGCGGGCTTTAGTCCCCGTTTCTTGATTGCAACGGCTATAACTTGAGCGATACTAGCCAATGGACTACCCGAGGCTTTGATTTTCACGTACAACTTATCGCCCGCAAAGAAAATCAAGCAGGCCAAGAACATTAGAACGGTCGGGATGGTTAAACCGATCGTCCAACTGACATTAGACTGGATATAGACGACTAGCGTCAGCGACAAGATCTGCGCGAAAGTGAAGGTGAAGAAATACCAATTGAAGAAACTGTCAGTCCCTCTTTTCCCCGATTCGCTCTTCGGGTTAAACTGATCAGCCCCAAAAGCTAAATTACACGGTCTAATCCCGCCCGCTCCCACTACAAGAAACCCGAGTCCCATCAATAGAAACGCGATCTGGCCTCCGCTTGGCCCATTACACGAGATCGCCGTTTTTGCGCATGCAGCTGGATGCAGTTGTGGTACTGCAGCAGTCAATAGTATCACAAGTGATCCCTGTAAAACAAAAGAGTTTCAATTCCACCGATCAGATTTTTTTTCGATTATAAACCGCATACTTGTAGAGAAAAGAAAGGAAGGATCATTACAAGAAAACAAGCGATGACCGCGACGCTAAGAGTCTTGTATCGACCAAAGTAAGTGTCACAGAGAAAAGCAGCAAGGAAAGTTCCGAAATTGATTGTGCCACTGAAGGCATTGATGAGTGTTGCAGCTGTTACACTCTTCATGTTGAAGACTGCTGTTAAATAAACCAAAAGGTTTGATAGTGTTCCAATGATCCCAAGCTTCTCAAATGTCTCATTTCCTGGTACCAACAACAAGATCATAATAAGACTTTGATCTCAGAAACTTTTTTCTTTAAAGATTTTGAATTACAAAACTTGATATGGGTTCTGATAAAGTTCAAAACTTTGCATTTGGTTGAATCAGAAACCAAACCAAGAAACAAAAATCAGATTAAATCTCTGTTTCATAACTGATTCTTGATCAAATTCAAGATCGTCCTCTTTTTTGTCTTAAAGTAAAGTTTGACTATAAGTCAGTCTTCGAGTTCTGAAGATTTTTATAATTTCAAAAAAAGAAAGAAAAAAAACAGAGTAAATGATAAGTTTTTTTTGCGTTACCAATAATAAAAGGCATGACTTTCCATCCTCTATAAACGACTTTCTCCTCATGAACATCATCTTCAACGGAGACAACCGCCGTAACAGAGCCACCGTACACGGCGGAAGAAGGTTCCGTTGACTCAACTTCGAGAGGTTTTCTCTCCATTTTGTTACGCTCTGTAAATTTGATTACTAATAAAAAGAGTCGTTTATAAAAACTTTGTATGTTCTTCTTATCTTAAA